AAACTAATAATAATAACCATAATGGTGTGTCGTTTCAAGTTGATATTTGTACTTTGTAGGTAAGATACAACAACCATAACTGCTAATAGGGGAGTTGCATATGGACAATTTTAGAAGTCACAATTATTCATCGTTTAATAATAGTCGGTTAACAAGCACCATTTGTGACTTGACGTGTTCAAATGCCTCATTTCTACTATAACAACTTGCATCGAACATAACAAATAAGCGTCAGCTTATATGCTACAGCATAAAAGGTAAATATGCACACTGTGTTCACTCAACATAGCATTATAGGATTAAACCACATAAAGACAATTAAAAAACATTCACATTTCATTTTCATCAGGAAAATGCTAACAAAAGAAAAATATGATGAAGTTTAGTGAGTTGACCCATATCCACACTGACCTATTTCTGTATACACCAATGTCTATGCGTATCCTTTATTTCTCTACTTAAAAGTGTGTTAACTGAATGTTGCTAGCGCAAGTGATAAACAGCTTAACTATATTCTGAAAGCTTAAGATTTATCTCTATGATGTGTGTCTTCAGTTAAACTACAAATAATAATCAGAGAAAATATTTTGTTGGAAAACAAGTGATGAATACTGCTTGTTTTTGCTTCCAATGTTATTTTCAAGTTGATTTTATGTAATCAAATCATTCTAATATGTTTTTCTAACCTTTATTATCAGTCTGTAGAATAGATAAGAAATTATTTTTTCGTTAGGTTATTTTAAAAATTATGATAGGAAAATGAACATTTCATTTCTTGTATATCACTGAATGTAACAGATAAGTTTATCACGATAAACTTAGAATAACGAAGGAATTAGTCTTCTGTTCAGCAAATAAAGAGCAAAAAGATTAGCGTGATGGCAGCTTATAAACTGACTGATTAAAAGATGTGTACAAACCAAACGATAGATCGTAAATCTTTTAACTCGAATAGCCTAATTACTTCGAGATACGCTGAAGACTGTTATATTTTCATGATAAGACTATTAAAGAAGTCTTAGAAAAGGTATGGTGTTGAGGGACTTCAGTCAGATATCTATAATGTTATTTGCTTCCTGTTAGCTAGCAGGAAGATCCAGGACTAGTTGCCAGGATGCACTTTCAGTCCGGTGAGTGGTGTTGTTCCTACAGAGACATGAACTCAGAACTCATTACTTGGAATGTCAGACTATAATCTATTAGGCTACTGAGTGACAACAGTCATATATTGTGTAGCAGGTTTCATTTACTGGTCATTGATACCTACCATTTCTTGTTGACCATTATGCTAGACCGGAAAAGCTAGAATTTTGTGACTGTACAATCGAGGGATATTTAAAGTAAGTTTGGATTTGATCTTCAACTTTATGTGGTCAATATTATCTCATAGTTGGAGTCTTTCTAACAAAGAGTGATACAGTCTAATCACTGCATTTTACTCCACAGTTAAAGAGTAAGTGTCTCGTCATAGGATTTACGTGATTAATTTTGTCTTCCAGACTATCTGATATAGTCGTGGTTTGGCATACTAGTATTGATACTGCGTGATGATTGGAGGTGAAATGGAAATTTGAACACCGACGGGATCCGAACCAGCAACAACCGGTTTGCTGGCTCGATGTACTACTAACTGATCTCCAAGACCCCATTGCTAACTAGATTTTTATTTCACTTCAGTCACCAAGGGATTTGCCTGACTACCACATGAATTCGTGACGCGTTACTACCACTTGGTCGTACTCATACTGGTTTCCCAGTCAAGACATCTCATCCTTATCCGAAACTAACTGGATTAGAGACTGGGAAAAGTCATATTGATTATCACTTTGACTATCTGACTAATTTTAATTTCCTAAATTATGACATACGTATAATGCAGAGTAGCCCTTAACTGACAGATATAGATGTCAAATAATTCTTTGCTTTCATTTAGTCTCAAAATTACATGCCTTTTTGAGTACAACTTGGAAATAACTGATTCTTTCTATTATCTGTGACATTTTGCTACTCATGTGGTCTTCTAAATTATAAACATACACTAGCTTTCTAGAAGTACCACCAAAGATATTAAAGCTGGTAATGTAATGCTTATACCCTACTTTTCATATGTGATTTTAAAACGCTGTCAAAATGTTGTATGCATAAGCTTTCTGTATTTGAGCAGATCAAAGATACGTGTGATTCTTTGAACATATCTTTGCGTTCATCCTTTTTTAACAACCCAGAAAGGGTTTTACTAAAATTATGTAACTTTCGTCGGTGCAAGCAAGATATAAGAAATTTCTCTATCCCGTGATGTAAACGCTAACTGCAGGGTATCTCATTTTTTTCTGTTTTGCTTTAAAGTAAAATGTTGTTGTCGGTCTCTTTTGGGAACTCTTTTGGTAAAAGTAAGATTTAAAAAAGCTAGACATATGTTATTAAACAGTTTACATAATATTTGAGGGATTTCTGTCTGAGGTAGTCCAGTCGATGTAGTTCATCATCGGAACCTGGTGAATACAACCATTTTTATTACTTACATGTAAATTAGTTAATTTGACATCCTCCACTCATATTAACGACAGTGTTATCAAGCTTAGAATGATTTCACATAATAGCTTTCTTAAGGCATAGAAACTAGAACAAGTTAGTATAGAAACCTGAATATACCTCCAGAAAAGCTGATTACGTACACAAGTAGTATAACAGAGATACTGTGGCAACTTGAACTCTAGTTATCTCTTCCTTTATTTCCTTACAATCCATTGTATGTAATTTTGTGGATCTATAAAAGCTACTTGCCACTCTCTTACCCTTTAATAACTGCCTTTTCCTGTTTTTTTATAGTTCATAGACTTTTCAATGAAATGATTCCATCCAAGTATGTAATAAAATGAGTTTATTTCACGGTGAACTATAACTACCGGTCTTGTTTAAAATATGTATGTGTATGGTGGTTCCTCCTTAAGCTTTCCTTTAAACGCAGTCTGTTCAAAGCTGGATCATAGGCTACTGACTGACAAGCGGCAGGCAGCAGGTTTTCTTCAAACTTTTTTCACATCACTGAGTAAAATCATGAAAAATAGTTTTTTAAAAAAGTACAGATCGGAAATAGTGAACCAACTTTAAAATCTATACAGCTGATTTCTTTGAAAAATATTCTACCAAGTCATTATTATGAACATCTTTAAACTACTGAATAAATTTATCTGAACTTTGAGTGGTTTCTAATAGGGTATAGTGTCGAAGTTAAATATTTTAGATATTTCATATGTTGGGGTGTTAATAAGGCCGTCTGTCGGTCTAACAGACTAGTAGTGGTACTTCTGTTACTCTATGCATTAAAGTAAACCCTTCTGACTCACTGAGATATGGTTTCATTCAGTCTACTATAGACTTCAATCTTCCTATAATAGTGTCTACATGTTCCTTGACCTATTCGTATGGATAGATTCAAATATGTTTATTGAATTTCATGAAGTAATCCGAAATGTCCAAAAATATAGTTGAATTACCTTTATCAACTTTGACAAATATCACACTATTGTCGTAGATTAGATTCTTTACAGCAAGTATTTCTGGTTTCGTTACATTTTGCTCAAGTTTATCCTGCTGTTCTGTTGCTATTACACTTTGTGTTCTTACGTGTCCAGTAGTCGTATGATCTACAAACCTTAATGCAACTTCCGAATGAGGAACAACATCTTCCAGTGTCAAGTGACATTGCTATATAGAGGTTTAGTCCTTTTTCCAGTACACATATATCACGTGGACGTCTTGCTCTTGTTGAAAGGTTGATCACCCACTTTGTTATATCGAAGGTTGGTATTTTCTTTCTACTCAGTAGGATACTTTTCTTCCATCAGTTTGCTAAAATTCTTACTCTCAGCACTTCTGAATTTACTAAATTCAGCTGATTTTACTTTGTTTTATGTTTCTCATTGGATTTAATATTCTCTACTGCTCAATGTCTTCATCAGTCTGCATTTTAGTTGCCCAATTTCATTCCAAATAACAAATAATTTTTTCATAGTTCTATATAGTTCTTCTCTAATACATGTTCTGGTGCTACTGAGGTTAGGTACACAGGTAAAACTTTCTGAATCGGATCAGTCAGATTAACAGAACATAAAGACCTATCTAGCTCTAGACTGGTAGTCCCTAACAAGATCAGTAATCTAGAGAAAAATCCATCCACAGCTATCCGTGTGGTGATACACAGCCATACAATACAGTGAGACAAAGCTACAGCCCTGAAAGCTTATATAGTTAAGTAGAGAACGTTTCTGATCATTGAATCTCTGTTCGCAAACTCAATGCCTAACACATGTAATTGGAATGAAGTAACGCTAGTCCTAGACAAGTGAAAATGTTTGCTATCAGCCAAACCAACGAATAAAAAGCAACAGAGCAATAAAAACTGGACCAAAAGGCTGGGTGATTACCCTTATATGAGTATGAGTATTCAGTTCTGCTTGGAAGATCACCTAAGTGAGTGCTATATCAATAAACTTAGTCAATATGGAATTACATTTCACCACATTGGCCAAATTTTAAAGTTATGCCAATGAAACTATCATTATGACTACCAGAGATAGCCATAGTTTGACAGACTAGTATTGAAAACTGGGTGATGATTGAAGGTTAAATGGAAATTTGGACCACAGCCAGATTCGAACCGGCGACCATTGGGCCAGAAACTCAGTGGTCGTTGGTTCGATTTCGGCCGCGATTAAAATTTTCATTTTACCTATAATCATTATCCAGTATTAAAAAAATTAATGACTCATTAGTGGCTGGTACAAACCCAAAAGATATGTTCGTATTTGTTAGAATATAGAGTCAAAATTCCTTTGATTTACCACACAATGACTGCTTGCTGACTTTCTAGAAGTGCGATAATCGACACTTTTAGAAAATTACAACCTTAAATTATACAGGTGTAAAAATTAAATCCTTTCTACATTCCATCTCATACCTAATTACATATATTTTCTACAATTTTCGTTCAAATGTAGTGTGTTCAAGTGCAGCGTGCGGATACAAATTCAGATTCAAAATTCAATTTAACCCTTACATCAAATAATCCCAGAAATGTAGGGAATGACTGTTATGAAGATGTATTGATTGAATCGGTAAGTCAAACTAACAAGATATTTATTTTATGCTGATTCATTAGTTTGATCTCTGTCCAAATTTTGCATACTCCTGAGAAGATGGAAATCTTGTTTCTTACTGGGAAATATGCACATCTGTATGTCAAAAACTTATAATTCTATGCTAATCATTTCCTGAATACATCTTTATTTTCTTAAATTTATGTAAGGAATATAAAATTAGGGTTTTCAACAGTATGACACATCTATTAAAAGTTTTCAATACACCATTTTTGTAACTACTATCAAAATCCAGCTTTACAGGTTAAAGGTTCCCTATGGGATATTAAATGTTAGTACGTCAGTAATGAATATGTGAATTAAACGTCACAGGATAATTCGACAATTAGATTTTGTAGGGATTTCTATCGCCATGATAATTTACTTGACTGTAGCTAGAAAAGGAATCCAGGTAGCGCATGCCATCATATTTGAGGCTCGTTAGATGGATGTGTCTAAACCTTAATGAGGATTGGTGTTATTCCTCCTGAGACTCGAACCTCGCACCCATCACTTCAGACGCCAAAACGTTGTCCACTAAGCCACTGAGGCATGATAGCCATTTCTTGTCCAACGGGTATTAGTTGTTACTTATTTGTTGATATACTTGTAAAGCTCCATCTTTTTACTGGATCAAATTGTTCGACGTATGTTGGCATACAGGCTCCTACGAGGATACCTCAACATTACCTGAATACTCATTATTATTGTATTGGTTGTGGTTAGCAAAGGAATCCAGGTTGCGCATTTAGTCTTGTTTAGAATTCGTCAGCAACAGGGATAGTACAAATAGATCTACTTCTTCAGCGGAGTAATTTCTATCGTCAGACTGGAAATAAAATTGCATTTGGTTAAAATAGCAGTATGCAATCACTTAAACTCACAGTGTTCATTCCACGTGTAGTAACTCTCACTTCCGAAGGGAATTTAAACTAAAACATTAATTGCATCTATCCTAACAACCATGTCACTGTCGCTTTAAAAATCAAGAAGCCTTAACTAATTTCAAGCCATGTATCATACAAATACCATTTCATAATATTCTTTTTCATAAGTAGTCAAGAACATCTATATCTTGATAAAATCATATTCCTCTGGTAAAATAGGAAGGAATGTGAACTGATTGATAGCTACTTCTTGAGTCGAAGAAGATATATGAAGAAAACTTGTGTACATTTGACTTCATGGTAGTGATCTTTTTGTTTCATTGTACTCTTTCTATTTCATGAGGTACCATTTTCTGTATAATTTTGGGCTAAAGGATAATACCTCTATTTGAATCAAGGACAGTGACACATTCCTACACTTGAATAAGGATTTTTCCCAACTTAAGGAGAAGACAGTTTCATGAGTTACTTGCCTCAAACTCAAATTCGGTTTTATGTTAACGTTACCATTTCGCCTGTAGGTGATAGTAGCAGCGTAATTGTCGATTTCTTTCCTTTCGTTCTTAAATAATTCAAATAGAATGTTCTTAATTTGGGATGGTTATCGTTCGGGTAGTTGATATCTAACTATATTAATCACATAGTTTTGATAACATAATAAAATCGTAACGTAGTATATAAAGTTCTGGGTTCCATAATTCTTCGATGTCTGAGCGGAGCTCGGGAACAGAAAGCCGGAGAAAACCAAGTAGGCAGGCTTTAAACCCAACAGCGAGTGTATCGACCAAACATCCACACTGCGGCAGCCTCTTAGACACAGGCACAATTACCGACGCCCGATACTAGATGTATTTCTCGACCTGGAGATGGTATCCGACTCCGTTGATCGAGAAGTCTTATGGAAATGTCTCTCACTGAAAAGTATGTCGAGTAAGTACACAACCTTATTAAAGGTTCTCTACTCGAACACTTGTGGGTATGTTAAAGCCTATGGTGAGATGTTCGGGGTGCTGTACTCGTCGAGCGGTGTTCGTCAAAGATGGCCACTCTCTACATTCTTATTCAATTCAAATTCAAGATATTCTTATGGAGGTCTCCCTCTCATCACCTGACTACACAGAGGTTGGCCTGATCGCAGGAGAAGTTTTGTTAGACCTAGAATATGCAGATGACATAGTCCTGTCAGGTGAAGACGCTGACGACATGCAGAGTCCTCTATACACAATTTGAGAATGTCTGAGGTGCGTTTCTCACCACCTGAGTGACAATCATTGCTCCGGGATTGATCTCCGACGGTACTACGGCTAACAGTAGAAAGCGTAGTCACTGAGTGTGTTGACAACTTAACTTACCTAGAAAGCAGGATCAGCCCTGCTCTGGTGACTCAGTGGCCGATGAAATCTGTGCATGAATACAAAAGGCTCGATTAGCTTTTCCAACTTACACCACTTGTGGCGCCACCGTGATATCCGACTGTCTATTAAGGGTTGTGTGTGCTGTACTACTGTTCTACTGTATGGCTTTGAAACACCACCACTAAACGTGGGAGACATGAGATGGCTTCAAATGTTTTGCCACCGTTGGCTTCGAAGTATGGGCTGTGTTCCGTAATGTCACCACACGAGTAATGCAGAAGTCAAGAGTAGATTTTTGAAGGTAAGAGGTAAATCAGTTGACACGGTTGTGAACCTTCATCGACTGAGATGGCTGGGACACGTAATACGTATGCCTAGTCACCGTCTGCTTAGTCACATAATGTTGGTCAAAGTAGGTCCAAGCTGAAAAAAGGCCCAAGGCAACCAGAATAAAACACACCACTAATGTGTGAAGTCTTTGACTGTTGGTTTTAGTCCTGTGGGCCGATACAGACTCAGTGGTTGGGGTATGCGGGACAAGAAAAACCAGTGGTTGGAGACCAGAGATGATATGGCTCAGAACCGATGTCAGTGTCCCAGATGTATACACATTGTATCCTCATCTTAATGACGCTATGCCGAATCCCACCATTTTCTCATTTTTCCTTTCTCTCTTTTAGTACTTTATGTTTATTTTGACTGAATTTTTATTTCTTCATCTTCAATGCTTTTTTACTTGATGTCCTGATATGAGCTGTGGAACTCGGACCGTTAAGCTCTTCTTCTTCTTAGTCCCTTGGGTTCCTAGTGAAACATAGGGCTTCAGTAGCACGCCTCCAGTGATCTCTGTTCTCTGAGATCTTTTGAACCTGGTTCCACGACAGCCCACAAGCTCTCATTTCCTCCTCGCATGACCTCCTCCATGTCACCCTCGGACGTCCAACTCATCGCTTCCCATGGGGATTCCACTCGAGGGCCTGACGCGTGATGTCCTCAGCCGGCCTTCTCAGTGCATGGCCAATCCATCTCCACTTCTTCCTGCATATTTGTTGCGTGATAGGTTCTTGGTTGGTTCGTTCCCAGAGTTCCTTGTTGCTTATTTTTTCTGGCCATCTGATCTTCAGCAGCGAGCGTAAGCAGTTGTTGATGAATGTCTGTAGTTTATTGGAAATACCTTTCGTGACGCGCCAAGTCTCTGAGCCATACAAGAGCACTGACTTGACGTTGGTGTTGAAAATCCGTATCTTGTTCCGCATGCTGAGTGCAGAAGATCTCCACACTGGTTTCAGGCTAATGAACGCCTGTCTTGCTTTTCCGATTCTGACTTTGACGTCCTCGTCCGTCCCGCCTGTAGTTGAAACAATGCTTCCTAGATAAGTGAAGGAGGTTACTTCCTTCAAGTTTCTCCCGTTGACGGTGATTGGAGTTTGTTGTTGTTGTTGTTGATGGTGGTGGTGCGGTATCTTCATCACCTCTGTCTTCTCTATATTCACCTGAAGTCCCGTCTTAGCTGCCTCTTCTGTCAACTTGTTAGTTTTTGCCTGCAGATCTTCAAGTTTATGTGACATTAGGCATAAGTCATCGGCGAAATCCAAGTCTTCTAGGTTCTTTTCCGTCGTCCAGTGTATCCCCCTCTTCTCGCTGCCTACTGTTTGCTGCATGATCCAGTCCACCACAATAAGGAATATCATGGGGGATAGTAGGCAACCTTGTTTCACTCCTGTCTTCACTTCAAAGGCATCACTGAGCTTCCCATTGTGGATTACTTGGCATGTGGCATCTTCATATAGTTGTTGAATGAGGCGGATAAAGGTTTGCGGTACTCCGTAGTATTGAAGCAGTTTCCAAATTACTTCTCGGTCGACGCTGTCAAAGGCCTTCTCAAAGTCGATGAAGTTGAGGTATAGAGCTGATTGCCATTCTACGCTCTGTTCTATGATGATACGAAGCGTTGCAATTTGGTCAGCACATGATTTGTACTTCCTGAAGCCTGCCTGTTCCGGTCGCAGTTTTGAATCCAGTGCGTCTTTAAGCCTCTCCAGGATGATGCGGCTTAATATTTTACTTGGGGTGGATAGGAGAGTGATTCCGCGCCCGTTCTTGCAAACACTGAGGTCTCCCTTCTTCGGCAGTTTGACAAGGTAACCCTTCTTCCAATCGTCAGGTACCTTCTCTTCCCTCCACACCTTCTGCAATAGTGGTGTGAGCATGTCCGCTGTTGTCTCTGCATCTGTTCTCAGTGCTTCTGGCGGTATTCCATCTGGTCCTGCTGCTTTCCCACATTTCAGTAGCTTTATGGCGTTCAGGACTTCCATTTTCGTTGGGGGATTTATGTTCACTTGTAATTCAGCGGTTGCAGGTGGTATTTCTGGACGAAGTGTAGGTGGTGGTCGATTCAAGAGCTTCTTGAAGTGGTCGGCCCATCGTTTCCTCTGTTTCTCTTCTTTTGTAATTAAATTTCCTTCTTCATCTTTTATTGGTTTCATCTGTGTTGGTCTCTTCCCTGATAGCAACCTGGTTATTTGATACAATGTCGTCAGGTCTCTCTTTCCTGCAGCCTGTTCTGCTTCACTTGCCAGTGTTTCGTAGAAGTGTCTTTTAAGGACCGTTAAGCAGTAATGCTTAATCCTATGTTGGTGGATGATGATGAAATATATTGACGATGCCATACCTTGATTGTCATAACTAGAACGATAATTGTCTAAAAAGAGCTGCCATTTGTTCAAATTATCTACGA